GCAGTTAAAAGAAAAAACAGCTGCAAGCTCACATTACTCCAAGAAGCACAAAGCCGAAGACACAAGCCTGAAGATGACGAATGAGATTTCGTCGAAACGTTGTCAAGATACTTCCAATTTTATGCAGGAGAAAACCCAAATAACCAAAGATCCACATATAAATACCTGTGAAAACCTCAGAAAACAAATATATATATGTGTGTGTTCGGGTCTTTTCCCATGTAAGATTAAGAGTATCTTGGTGACATTTTGGCGTGGTCCCACTCACCATCCTCAGGCTGGTGCTTTCGGCTTCGTGCCAGTGCAAGCAGTGTGTGATCAGAGCTGCCGTCTCTATAAATATATATTTGTATGGTATTCAGCTTTGTTCGGGTATTTTCCCACATCATTATAGTTGTGCTTTTAAAGTTGTAGCAACCTTTCGGCAGAATCTCATCTGCCATCATCAGGCTTCTTTATAGTGTTCGTCTGTATATGTGTGTGTGTGTATGTTTGTATGTATGTGTATACACACACACACACACACACACACACACATACATACATGGTGTGTTGTGAGTTGATTTTGTGAGTTTGCTTGCTAGCAAATTTTGAGTTTGCTTGCAAGCAAATTTTATGTGACAGACTCAGGTAGCCAATTGCAGATAGATCTCTAAGTTAATCTGTGATCCTGTGAGCAATTCAATCTGCCTGCCTGCTTTGCCTGCTTTTGGGTAAAAGTTGTTATTTTTTATATTAAAAAATCAATATTTACATAAATATTTATAATATTTACATACAAGCCATGCCCACCCAGTCACATGACCATCAAGCCACACCCACAAATTAGGCCACACTCACAGAACTGATTGTTAAGAAATTTGAATCCCACCCCTGAGTAACATCATCAGTGCAGCACTGTTATCAAGTTTGGATAATGAAATATCTGCAAGAAAACAAGCAAGCTATATACTAGAGGTGTGATTATAACTTATACAAGAAGAAGGAATATAAAAAAACCACAACAGATCTTAGAAGAGGATTATAAGAAATTGGAAAAAGAATTACAACGAAATCCACAGCATAAGAATCTTAAAAACCAAATGGATATAGTTAAATATAAAATGGGACTAATGGAAAAAGAAGAATTGGCACAAAAAATTAGAGCTAAACAGAACTTTTTCAAAAATGCAAATAAACCAGGTAGATGGTTTGTATACAAACTGAAAAAAGAGAGGGAAGTGAAAAGAATAGCATAATTAATAGATGAAAATGGAACAGTATACTATGGAAATGAAGAAAAATAAAAAATAGTGCAGAAGTATTATGAGAAATTATATGAGCAAGAGACTATTGCAGAACGGAAAGTTAAACAGTATTTGTGAGAAGCAGAATTACCAAAAATACCTGATGAAACTAAGACAATATTAGAAGAGAAAATAACAGTGATGGAGTTGACTGAAGCAATAAATAGACAATACACTGGGAAAGCTCCTGGCCTAGATGGGTTACCAGCAGAATTTTATAAGACATTACAGGAATCAATGCTTGAAGTAATGAATGAGGTTTTGATAAAAAATAAAGTTCCTGATACATGGACAGAGGCATACATTACACTTATACCAAAGGAAGATACCGATTTACAACAAATAAAAAATTATAGACCAATATCCCTGCTAAATGCAGACTATAACATATTTGCCTCAATAATGGCAGAAAGACTTAAAAGTTATTTGAATCACTTTATACACTCAGATCAAAATGGATTTCTGCCTAAGAGACAAATAAAAAACAATATGAGGATAATACTGAATACACTGGAATACTACGAAGCACATTCAGAGAAACAAATGGCTTTGGTTTTTCTAGATGCAGAAAAAGCTTTTGACAATGTCAACTGGCAATTTATGTTGTCGCAACTGGAGGAGATAGGCTTTGGAGATAGATTTATTAAGGCAATTGAGGCGATATATTACAAACAAACAGCAAGAGTAATGATTAATGGAGACTTGACAGACAATATTAATATTAAAAAAGGAACCAGGCAAGGATGCCCGCTGTCACCATTGCTATTTGTATTGACTCTGGAAGTACTGAATAGAAACATTAGGAAAAATAAAGAAAAGGAAGAGTATAAATTACAAGCATTTGCAGATGATCTGGTTTTTATATTGGAAGAACCATTGGAAACAGGCCCTAAGTTGATAGAAAAGATAGAAGAATATGGAGAGGTTGCAGGACTAAAAATAAATAAGGAAAAAACTAAGATTTTAGTGAAGAATATGATAGAAAAAAAAGAAGATATTAACAGACAGATTAAATATCCAGATCACAAAAAAGTGAAATATTTGGGGATACAAATGGCAGCAAGAATTCTTAAAGAGGACAATTATGATAGACTGAAACAACAGATTGTGACAGATTTGGAAAAATGGAAAAATTTACAATTATACTTAGCAGGGAGAATAGCGACAATTAAAATGAACATATTGCCAAAAATACTGTATGTATGCCAGACGATTCCAATAAAACTGAAGAAAACATATTTTGAGGACTTAAATAAAATGATGTTGAAATTTATATGGCAGGGAAAAACGACAAGAATTAAACTAAAATTGTTGCAGGACACTAGAACGAGAGAAAGTTTTGGACTACTCAATTGGGAATTATACTACCAGGCAGTAATATTGATGTGGATGAAAGAATTCATTGTACTGAAAAACGTTAGACTGTTAACATTGGAAGGTCATGATTTGCAATTGGGTGGAATGCATTTTTATGGTATAATGAAAGTAAGGCACATGGATACTTTCGGAGACATTATATCAGGGATGCTTTATTAACAATATGGGAGAAAATAAGGGAGTACCATTATATGAAAATACCAGTCTGGTATTTCTATTTGACAATAGAGGCATTTTCATATCCAAATGTTTTTAAAATGGAACATATTATTAGATATATTGAAATCTTAAATGAAAAGGGCGAACTCAAAACAAAGCAAGAATTAGACGAACAAGGGATGAATATGAATTGGTGTTCACATTTGCAAAGACATTCGAGATATGAAGATAGATGGGTTTTATAAAGAATTGACTGAACTAGATAAAATCTTAACAGGAACTGAAGAGAGGATGATTTAAAAATTATATGGTTATTTATTAGAAGTGAAATTAGAAGAAGAGCAAGTTAAAGAAATGATGATTGCATGGGGGAAAAATTTTGGATATGGGATAGATTTGGATAAATGGCAGAAACTATGGACTAGAAATTATAAACTAATGTCAGCAGCCTATAAAGAGAATTTGTATAAGATGTGTTAAAGGTGGCATCTACCCCCAGCAAGAATAGTAAAGATGTTTAAAGACAAATTGGCGAAATGTTGGAAATTTCATCAGATACCTGAATCATATTACCATATGTGGTGGACATGGATAGAAGCTAAAAGATATTGGACTAAAATATACATGTGGTTGGAAAAAATGATAAAACAACATGTAGATCTAAAACCAGAGATATTTTTATTGGGAATTTTGCCTGAAGATTATAATAAAGAGATAACATATTTGATTATTAATGTACTAACAGCGGCTAGAATTGTATTTGCACAAAATTGGAAAAATGAGAAAATTCTGATAGAGGAGGAAACTATTAAGAAAACAATGGAATGTGTGGAAATGAGTAGACTAACAATGGCAATTAGGGAATAGGAAGAAAAAGAGTATTATAAGATTTGGGATTTATTTTATGAATGGTTAGATAGAAGAGTAAGAAACTGAAATATGTGGTAACAGTAGTAATATACTATAATTGATTATTTCTAAATGAGTAAGAATATGAATATAGCTTTGCAAGGATGAGGTTTGTTTTTGAAAGATAATATAGAACTGAAATTATAATGTTAATGATAATATAATAATGGAACAAGATGGTATAGAATGTTAATTAGAATGGTCTATTATGTATGTGTGTATGTATGTATGTATGTGTATGTAACCACTGTATGTAACCACTGAATGTATGTATGTGTATGTATGTATGTGTATGTAACCACTGTATGTAACCACTGAAACCACTGTAAAAGTCTGACCCACAGACGGACACAATACAGAAGCCTGATGATGGCAGATGAGATTCTGCTGAAACGTTGCTACAACTTTAAAAGAACTACAATGACGTGGGATATATATGTTTTCTTAAGTTTTCGCGGGTACTTACATGTATGGTGTTCGGCTTGGTTCGGGTATTCTCCCACGTCATTGTAGTTCTTTTAAAGTTGTAGCAACGTTTCAGCAG